CCAGTTCAAGTGAGCGCTGCATCTCCAGTTCAAGTGAGCGCTGCATCTCCAGTTCAAGTGAGCGCTGAATCTCCAGTTCAAGTGAGCGCTGCATCTCCAGTTCAAGCGAGCGCTGCATCTCCAGTTCAAGCGAGCGCTGCATCTCCAGTTCAAGTGAGCGCTGCATCTCCAGTTCAAGTGAGCGCTGAATCTCCAGTTCAAGTGAGCGCTGAATCTCCAGTTCAAGTGAGCGCTGCATCTCCAGTTCAAGTGAGCGCTGCATCTCCAGTTCAAGTGAGCGCTGAATCTCCAGTTAAAGTGAGTGAGTTGTCCAGCCCTGTGACGCGCCGCCGCAGGAGGAGGAGAAGGAGGACTCGTTCGGTTCGCCAGGCCCCGGTGAGCGTGCCCAGACTCCTCGCTCTGCCGGCCCCGCCTCTACGCCTCGCTCTGCCGGCCCCGCCTCTGCGCCTCGCTCTGCCGGCCCCGCCTCTACGCCTCGCTCTGCCGGCCCCGCCTCTGCGCCTCGCTCTGCCGGCCCCGCCTCTACGCCTCGCTCTGCCGGCCCCGCCTCTGCGCCTCGCTCTGCCGGCCCCGCCTCTACGCCTCGCCCTGCCGGCCCCGCCTCTGCGCCTCGCCCTACCGGCCCCACCTCTGCGCCTTGCCCTGCCGGCCCCGCCTCTGCGCATCACCTTGACTGCGCCCTTCAAGCTCCGGGAGACCTTTCCTGAACCCGTTTACCACCCAGAGGTTCCTCCCGTGAATTTCCCCAAGTATTTTTTGGGGGGGGGGGCACTAGGTACTCTGCGGGGGCCTTGGAGGCGACACTGACATGGACCGCACCTGAGTCTGCTCCGCCCTCGTCTCTGCCTGAGCCTGCTCCGCCCTGGCCGCCATCAAGTCCTGCTCCGCCCTGGCTGCCTTCACGTCCTGCTCCGCCCTGGCCGCCTTCACGTCCTGCTCCGCCCTGGCCGCCTTCACGTCCTGCTCCGCCCTGGCCGCCTTCACGTCCTGCTCCGCCCTGGCCGCCTTCACGTCCTGCTCCGCCCTGGCCGCCTTCACGTCCTGCTCCGCCCTGGTCACCCACGCTCCACGGCCCAGGCCCGCCTTGCCTGTGTCCTCGTCCCGTTCCCCTGCACGGGCCTGGCCCTCCGTCCCTCCCCCGGGATCGCCTTCACTCTGCCCCCCGCCTGGATTGTTCTAGGAGCGTATGGGAGCCGCTCCTTAGAGGGGGGGTTATGTGACGATCAGCAGCCGTGGTGCCCTCGAGAGCCACTAGAGGGCACTCTCTCCCCATGTTATGTTTCCCCTTGGACTCTTTGTGTTGCATTATGTTCAGCTGTGTTTCATTATTGGTTATTGAGTTCCTTATTTAAGCCTGAGTTTTCCCTGTGTCCCTTGCGAAGTCTTCTTAATAATAATAATAATTATAATAATTATAATAATAATTCGTTACATTTATATAGCGCTTTTCTGGACACTCAAAGCGCTTCACATAGAAGGGGGGGATCTCCTCAACCACCACCAATGTGCAGCATCCACCTGGATGATGCGACGGCAGCCATATTGCGCCAGAACGCTCACCACACACCAGCTTACTGGTGGAGAGGAGACAGTGATGAAGCCAATTGGTATATATGGGGATGATTAGGAGGCCATGATGGACAGAGGCCACTGGGCAAATTTGGCCAGGATGCCGGGGTTACACCCCTACTCTTTCGAAAGACATCCTGGGATTTTTTATGACCACAGAGAGTCAGGACCTCGGTTTAACGTCTCATCCGAAGGACGGTGCTCTTTTTGACAGCATAGTGTCGACCCTTGTTACCCTGTAAGCATACAATTCCGAGCGTTATTCCCTGTTCTGTGTCTCCGTGTTTCCCTGGACTCTTGACCGTTGCCTGTTTCCTGGACTGCTCTCGAACCTGTGCTGCCTGCCTCGACCATTGCCTGTTTAGACCACGAGTTTCTGGATTGCCCCTTTGTTTAAGTGTTTGCCAGTTTTCATGTCTGCTTGTTTTAATAAAGTGCTGCACATGGATCCGACCGTCTCTGTCCGTACGTTACAGGTAGATTATACATTTATAATTTCTATTACATTACTACTACTAATGAAATTGATCTCTGGGGCCCCCAATAGTGCGTGGGCCCTTAGAATGGTAAATCATGGTGTCTTAATTGAGAGAAAGAAACAGATCCAACTAAGACATTCCGCTTCTATATTTGTATTGTACTATTATTGGTGCATGGTGTCATTGTTAAAAAATACCACCAATCACAATAAAAGGGTTATGGTCATGTTGAGGCAAAAGAAAATTTCCCAATCTAATCATGTATGATAAGAACTACAATAGTTTACAATAGCTTACATAAATAAAAAATATTTCATTAGCCGCTTTCACATTAACTTTGTGCTCAATAACTGTTATAATATGAGGGCGGTCCTTGGAAATTTTTTTTCCCCTGAAAGGGGTCCCTGGCTCCAAAATGTTTGAGAACCCCTGCAATAGAGAACACACTGGTATTTTTGAGAGTAGCATTTACTTCTAATAAATACATTACCAGAACTTCATTATGCAGTAAAGTTGAATTGTTTGACTAAGTTTAGAGTGTGTTTTTAGTTGGCTGTGTTACCATGATTTAATTACAAAAACCGTGTTGTTGTTTTGTAGTAAAACAAAACCTCGCCTCTCTCTAGATGAAGGAACGAGTATTGCGTGAGTTTAGCTTACGCTACGGGAATGATTCATCTTCTTGAGATATTGAAGCCAAAAAATTATCTTAATTTTGTATTCATTGTCAACGTAGTGCAGCAGCTAGCAGACCTAGAGAGGGAACTGCACAGCCTACCAGCGAGCCCGATGTGACGTCACGTCCAATCGAGGGCGCTCGCGCCCTCAACGCGTCCTAGCCAAGGGGGTAATCCATCGCCCGGAAGTTGAAGCCTCGCGGGAGCTGCCATTTTGTAGCAGAACTTCACTTGCGTTAGCATTTCCATTGACTCCCATTCATTTTGGCGTCACTTTGACAGCGAATTACTTTACATCTGAGGCGTTGAAGACCCCATTTGTCCTTTATTTATTTCTAAAGAAACACAACAATGTATAAAATGCTCCATTACCTTGTAGCTTATGTTATGGCCATGTAGAAGCAGTTTTTTGTAAAAGTAGGCTAACGATTGCGTCGAGAAGGGTCTGGCTGCAGACTTGCACTCTCAGACTTGCACGCTCAGACACGAGCGCTTCCGCTGCAAGTGACGTCAGACTTGCACGCTCAGAAACGAGCGCTTCCGCTGCAAGTGACGTCATTTGCAATCGACACCTGCTCTCCGCTACCTGTGAACTCACGTGCAATCGACGGCGCATAGTGTGTATCGTGGCGGATTGGGAACAATTCCGATGTCGTTAAAAATTGTTTCTGTAAGTAATAAGTATATATGTATATTTTCACACACATATTTATACCTAAATATAAACGCAATAGGCCTAAATATATGCATTTGCTTTATAGGCCTGTGATAAATAATAAAGTTTACCTTTTACACGATTTTTAATCTCTGATACACAAATATATTAACGTTAGGCCTAACAAGCCAACCACTCACGGTCTTAAATACATGAAGAAAACTTATTAATAGAGTTGTATATAAACTGGCTTTACATGATTTACACGTTGAAACCACTGTAGTTTGCCGTCCTGTCCTGTTTTACGGTGAAAACATTTTTAGTAAAATACGTTGTGTAAAATACATGCAATATTCGATCATGTTTCGACGTCACGTCTGTACAACAGTCTAATATCAATATTATCATTGGTTTCATTACAGATGCATCATGCACCATTCAGTCATTTTAGTTTCTGAAAGCCCCCTGGTACCACAGTGCACATCATGTTGCGCTTTGTATCACTGCAGTTTATGCCCTTCTCTGAAGCCAACCACCCTGAAAAAAATAAAGCTACACTGGGAAGGCCATTTAAAAAAAGCAGTTGTTTTCCAAGGTAGGTGCATTAAACCATTGGACTGTAATTGGTGCACAAGCACATTTTTACATATTTTTCCTTCAAATAAACATAAGAGGGTACTGCTCTGAAACAGTTCTCTAAACCGTTGTTTTCACTTGCAAATGGGTGTTCACAGACGTGCAATGCTTTTGTCCATATTTGGGCCACAAAAAATGGCAAAGGTGTAAACAGTAATTGTTTTAAACTTATTTTTCTTAAGCTTGAAATGCAATTTACACCTTAAAGGGATAGTTCACCCAAAATGTAAAGTTCTATCATGGTTTACTCACCCTCAAGTTGTTCCAACCCTCTATTTGTTTATTTGTTCTGCTGAACACAAAGAAAGATATTTGGAAGAATGTTTTAATCAAACAGATCTTGATCCCCATTGACTACCATCCTACTATGAAAGTCAATGGGGATCAAGATCTGTTTGATTAAAACATTCTTTCAAATATCTTTCTTTGTGTTCAGCAGAACAAATGAACACATAGAGGTTTGGAACAACTTGAGGGTGAGTAAACGACGATAGAACTTTAATTTTTGGGTGAAGTATCCCTTTAACAAAGCTTTTCTTGCACATGCAAATTTAATTTATGCTTACAATCTTATGTAGCCTACACTTCCACAGATTTTCCCTTACATATGCAAATCTTTTTGGGTTATATATTGATGGGTTTTATAAGTAGTAGTCAACATTTAAAGTGGATGCAAAAAGTTAATTGAAATTGTCAAAAAAAAAAGAATGGGTATTGTTGTGGTTTTAGGACGTCTTTAATGAAAGGTTTTGATCTACTTCAAATGTTTACTGCTGTAATTGTATGGTTTTTATACTGATGCATTGATATTGTTTTTCCTGATTTTCATACTGTGCTTTATCAACAGACAAAAGAATATGTTGTTGCCATTTGCCCTGTAGAATTCAGGCTCATTATCATTGTCCCAATTGCAACAAAACTGTTTTGAGGAGATATGTAATGGAAGCTCACTTAAAAATATGCCCATCAAATGTACCCCTTCAATCCTCTAAAATTTCACCTGCGGTGGCTTCTCTGTCCACAATGTCTCCTGGACTGTCCTCATTGCCATCTACAGTGACACCTGCCGTGGCTTCTCTGTCCACAATGTCTCCTGGACTGTCCTCATTGCCATCTACAGTGACACCTGCCGTGGCTTCTCTGTCCACAATGTCTCCTGGACTGTCCTCATTGCCATCTACAGTGACACCTGCCGTGGCTTCTCTGTCCACAATGTCTCCTGGACTGTCCTCATTGCCATCTACAGTGACACCTGCCGTGGCTTCTCTGTCCACAATGTCTCCTGGACTGTCCTCATTGCCATCTACAGTGACACCTGCCGTGGCTTCTCTGTCCACAATGTCTCCTGGACTGTCCTCATTGCCATCTACAGTGACACCTGCCGTGGCTTCTCTGTCCACAATGTCTCCTGGACTGTCCTCATTGCCATCTACAGTGACACCTGCCGTGGCTTCTCTGTCCACAATGTCTCCTGGACTGTCCTCATTGCCATCTACAGTGACACCTGCCGTGGCTTCTCTGTCCACAATGTCTCCTGGACTGTCCTCATTGCCATCTACAGTGACACCTGCCGTGGCTTCTCTGTCCACAATGTCTCCTGGACTGTCCTCATTGCCATCTACAGTGACACCTGCCGTGGCTTCTCTGTCCACAATGTCTCCTGGACTGTCCTCATTGCCATCTACAGTGACACCTGCCGTGGCTTCTCTGTCCACAATGTCTCCTGGACTGTCCTCATTGCCATCTACAGTGACACCTGCCGTGGCTTCTCTGTCCACAATGTCTCCTGGACTGTCCTCATTGCCATCTACAGTGACACCTGCCGTGGCTTCTCTGTCCACAATGTCTCCTGGACTGTCCTCATTGCCATCTACAGTGACACCTGCCGTGGCTTCTCTGTCCACAATGTCTCCTGGACTGTCCTCATTGCCATCTACAGTGACACCTGCCGTGGCTTCTCTGTCCACAATGTCTCCTGGACTGTCCTCATTGCCATCTACAGTGACACCTGCCGTGGCTTCTCTGTCTACAACGTCAGGTTCACAGTTGCCAAAAAGGCAAAATGTGATTAAATGCCCACATTGTTCCCTCACTGTACTAAAAAAGAACTTGAATATCCACATTAACAGAAAACATACTGACCATTCGAAAGATATTACAATGCACTCGCATCTTTCCAGTGTGTGTGTTGATCCCTCAAATGGACTGTCAGCAGTTCAAAGAAGTGGTCATGGTTTCACTATACCAGTTCATGTTCAGAGAAAGACGTGGGGCAAAACTCATTATGTTAGATGTGAGTTGGAGGAGTGTCGCCAGTACCAGCTACTTGCTCACCGGAGTGGACACATGTTTAGTGTCTGTGAACACCTTCGTTCACTGGATTATTGTTTTGAGACAGCATTTGAGGAGCACCTGGAACCGAGAGTCCTTGATGAGATGGTCGAGCTTAAATTCATTGGAGAGTCAAAGAAGGCAGTTTGTTTGAAAAGACAAAAAATAGCTCAGACAGCTCATGCTCCATTTTCAGTGTTGGTGGCATTAGGTGAATCTCAAAAGCAAATCACTCTCTCCATACATGAGCCTACTGTTCATCACTATAATCGCCTTGGGAGAGTAATGGTAACATACAATTCAACTGCAAGTACTTGGCACTGCCCATGTGCAAAGCCACGAGTGTCTTGTCCTCACAAAAACATAGCTAAATGGCACTTATTCCAAACAAATAAGAACTTGTTCACAACACACAAAAAATCTAAATCTAGTGACGCCTTGGGTTCCCATCTCTCAGAAGAGCACATCTTCACCTCCCCAATTGACCTTCAAAGCACTGTGCAATATATATATAATAAGAAGAAAATTCCAGCTAATCTTCCAGAAGCAGCAACCAAATCAAAGGAATTTTCATCAACTTATCTTCCAGTTGAAACAATGTGTATGATCTGCAGTGGTGAGACTGCACTTGACATGCCACTGCTGACTACTGCAAAAGCTAAAATTGTCACCATGGAAAGTGTCATTGAGAGTAAGTTCAACATTCAAAAATGTATGTTCACTAGTTATATTAAATTGTATGATAATCATCCATGAATGTTACTTGCACTTACTCTTTTTAGACATCTCTACTTACACCAGAAGATGCCCAGGGTGTAATATGATTTATAGGTACCAGGAATGGCAGGATGGTCTCCACAATTTTGATGATCACGTGCTTCTGAGTCTCGAATTGTGTCTGTACCTAAGACACAGTTTACAGGTTTGTCTTTATTGCATAGTGTTTAATGACACGCATACCTATCCAATAATTAAGCTTTAAAAAAAATCAGTTGACCCATTCCTGTTATGTCTATTCCAGAACCATGTATCAGTTTCCAGGGCTATAGATACTTTGGAGCGCCTCCGGAGAATAAAATACCCCAACAGAGACACCATAATCCATGGTTATGGTCATTTTGAGGCCTTGACAGATACTGAATACTTGTATTCTTGTGTTAACTGTGGTTACCATCCTCCCGTGGTCATCATGGACTTGCACAAGAAGGGTGTTTTTAGCATGTCAGGTAAGAGTTTGTTTTCTTTTTTAGATAGTAACCAGAGTAATGAAATGTTAAAGCACTTTTCTTGAAATACTATCTATCCGCCAGTACGACGAACAACCGACTATGTATCTGTTTGTCTCACTTTTTGTTCGTTTCTTTTTTGTAAGTGAGTGACCTCAAAGAGCCTCCAGCTGATTTCGGAGGGGAAGTTGACATCGAGGATTTCTGGAAATCAGTAAATCTTGAGATGATTGCCCGAGGATTTGTTCCCAGTAAGTGTTTTTTTTTTTTTTTAAATCAACTATAAATTTCTCTTTGTTATGGTCTCTTCTGGGAATGATTTGTTGAATTTTAATCTAATTTTATTTTCCTCTGAAATGTGTATCAATTTTCATATTATGTAGACTAATAAATGTGTGCATGTGCATCAGGCCGGGCCAAAAATCCATTTGCTGTTCAACCTAGCTATGAAAGGTGGGCTCCATGGATTGGAAGCAAGACTAGGAAGGATAACACTGTATTGAATACAGAATATGCTAAAGTTGTTACAGCGAAGGTCACATCAGCTGAAGCTCAAATGATGAATGTCTCAGAGGACCGTCTTGTGGATGAGCTGATGAAGCAGAAGGTAGAAATCTTCATAAAATTCAACTTTACTTGAATCATGTGATCTTGAGACATAAGTATTGTTGCGATAATGTGCTTGCATTATTTAACAGGTCAGTGTTGTCCGAAATCTATGCAAGGCCTGTAATATTGATTCTAAAGGTTCTCGTATGGATCTAGTTTCAAGATTAAGAGCGGAGATGCAGAACAGGCAGTCATATGACAAAATGTTCCAGAAAATCTGGGGAGCATCAGGTGGGCATATTACTTTAATAAAATGATAATTGAGAGTTGATCATTTTACATGTCCTTATTCAGTTTTTATAATGGCTTTTTCAGGTGGCTGGTCAGTTATCCTATGCCCACATGGTGTGGTGTATAGTATAAAGTTCAATTTGAGAGCCGAAAGTCCCAGAGATTTTGCGGACTTGTTGTTGTCATGGAAGCACATTCCTAATGTTAATGTCTATGACTTTGCGCGAGGCTTGGCCACACATGGTAATTTGCGAGTACCCACTGCTATTCCATTTCAACCTCATGAAGGGAGACTAGCTGAGCCAACACCAGTGAACATAAGTTCAGCAAAGAAGGGCAAACTAAATGTCTCTCTTCCTTGGTTGCTTGAGAAGACAGACAATTTGAATACCAAATGCCATCCCATCACAGGATCATCTGAGCACTACGTGTTGTATGACAAACTTCATGAATCGAACACAAAAGAACCCCAGGAAGTACTCAGAAGAATCAGCCTGGTCCCAGAGCTACAGGGTTGGCTAAATAGTCAAATAGCAGAACAGTTTTTTGCAAGCTTGCGAAAAAGCAACTATTTCCTGAACAACATGGCACCATCAATGCATATCTTTATGATGCGCAACATAATTCATCATAAGAACACATCCACAAACCAGAAGCTTCTGGAAGTACAGCTGCAACGTGGTCACAAACCTCATGGAATTGAAGATATCACCCTGTCTGACTTGGGACAAGCTTTTCTAGGTCAGTAGCCAATAGTTATGCTGCATTGCTTTCTTTTATAAACCATGACTTTACAATAGTAACCTTGTTTTACCCTGGTTTTCTTAGCCCCACGAGCCTGTGAAAGAGAAACCGTCAGGCAACATCCACATCACATAAACCAGGACATTAGTGAGGGAAATTATTTTCTCTTTGTGACTTTCAATGATTTTTGCCTTTTTGATAATACTACTTTCTTAACATGCAGAAGACTGTGGACCTCAATGTGAAGCATTCACCAAGTGTGAAAATATTTCAGCCTGTCGAGCATCTTGGACTTTGGGAAATCATCCAGCTCAAAAAGAACTAGTTAGTTTTAATAAATTATTAATACAGCTCTGTTTTACTGTGGGATTTTGAATGTTGAAACCTTTTTTTTTTTTTTTTTATAGCTAAACTACATACTGGACATTGAGAGACCAGGAAAGGAACTGATCGTTCGAACAACGAACAATGCTGTCCTAAACCGTGCTGACTTTTGGACACTGGGCTTTAACAGAGACATGGAGTCAACTGTAAGATTACAGCTGTTTTACATTGTTTTTTATATTTGTTGTTACATGGATTTATAATTAATATTGAAACTATTCTTTTCTCTTTTTTTTAGATTGGAAATGGTTGTTTTGAGTTGATTAAAAGCATTGCATACTCAAAGGTATTTTAATTATATATATATATATATATGTTTATGTATGAATGTATGTATTTAATTATTACAATATATACAATGTATTTAATTACTACAATACAACAATATATACAATATTACAATAATTGAGTTGACAGTAAATATTTTACACACAATACCCTGCAGGGCAAGAACATTTATGTAGCTAATCTTCATGTTGTACCAACATGGCTGCCACCAAACAACTGTGATCCATTTTTGAGTCTACCTGTAAGTACATGTTGTTTTCTTCCCTGTTATGCATGCTGTTATGATGTGTTGACTAAAACTTTCTAATTCATGTCAGGAAGATGCTCACTTGAAAGATGCCCTTGTGATTCCGATTTGGATACCTGGACACTACCAGTTGTGTGTACGTATTCACACAGCATTTAGTGAATATTAAAAAAAGTTGTCTTTGCATGCCCGTAGTGCTTTGATTTTAGTGCTTGTATAACTGCAGAAAGTACCAAATAGATGTAAATATACACATTTTATAAAACATACAAAAATGTTTACTTTTTTTTAGGTTTTGAAGCCAGCCCAGAAAGTAATTCTCTTTGTAGACTCTAAGTGTTTTGAGACACCACTCGGATTTGGTAACCAGAGATACAAAGCTCTTTTGAGGTTTTTTGAGAAATTTACTTAAAATGCGCGGTTGCGCTTTTGTTCAAAAAGGTCACGTTCTTATGACCTGTCTCTACACTGCAAGGTCATCTTATTTCAGGGATTGTTCAGTTGGAGCTGTTTTTCAACTGTATGAAGGTTTGTACTTGTTCTAATGTACTTCAGGTTTCTCAGACCTTTTTTGTATTCGTGATGATTTCAGATTTAAACACCTTTGTTTCATTGTGACAGCTTATGGTCTAAGAAATCTGTGTGATCTGACAATGCTTGCATGTTCAGTTGTCAAGTAATAGTCACAGTTCTGTGACTTATTGCATGAAGTTCATAGTATTGTATGTTTTGTTCAGATGTTGTTTTCCTATATTTTGCATGAAGTTTTTTTCTCGTGTTCTTGAACATAACAGGTTTCAAGGAGGTTACAGATCCCTATCTGATTCAGCTCATTTTGTAATCAATATCATGCTAATTTTATCTACAGTTCATTCTACATAGTTGCAGGCCATATTTAAAAATCTGGAACCCCTAGCTCTTTCACAGTATCCAGTTTGAAAAACTGTTCTACAGATTTAAATGTGCATGAAGGTTAAGAAAAAGCTGCTAATGTAAAAAAGAACACAATCTGTAATCAACAGGGATATTGCGAACAGGATAACACCAGGGAAATGGGCTGAAAAGACGGGCCTTGATTTAGAGGTAAATTTTATCAAGTTTCAAAGTGTTACTTATTGAAATTTTAGTCACTAATGTATTTTGCTATATTAAAGGGGTTTCCAGGGCAACCATATGGTAATGACTGCGGTGTCTTCATGTTAATGGTAAGATAAAACATTTTTTTTCATTATCTGGCTATATTTAATTCTCTTTTGCTGCCTCATCATGTTCCTCTACCTCTCCCACCTCCCCCCTGTATAGTCTGCATTTTACCTGGTGATGGATTCCTCATTTGACTACACAATTGTGAGTATTTGTTTACAATAATGTTGAGTGTGATTTAAAAATGCAATGGGTAATAATTACTTTCATGTTTTGTGCAGCTGGACATGCCAGAACTGCGGAAATGGTGGTGTGTGATGTTGATGGAGAACTATGGTCTGGATAGGTACAGTATTTCTTTCTTTTTTTTTTCTTTTTTTAAATATAACCAAATAAATAATGGAACAATGTGTAAAATTGTCATGCTTTATAGCCATGGAAAGGTTTTTGCACATTTTACTGAGGAGTCTAAAGCCTTCCTGAGGGGTGATCGAGAACCAGTTTTCAGGCTAAAGAAAAGGAAGTTTGAGGAAACCTTTCAGGTGAAAACATATACTAGGGGATGTGACACTTAAGTCATATTACCTTGTGAATGTTTGATTTGCTTATGCTGTGGTATTTGACTTACAGGTAGAGCCACAACATCAGGTTCAGGAATTATCATCACAGGTACTGTGTAGTTGGTCAGAAAAAAAGCAAATTCTTTAAAAAAAAAAACCAAACATATAAAGTTAACACAGACTTAAAGGCTGTCTAAGCGATGTCACGCGTTTTTTAGGGCAAAACATTTTTTGTCACATACAGCCAACATTTCCTCACCATCCGCTAGCTGCCTGTCCCCTGAACACACTGTAAAAAAATGCGTCTCTGTAGACACCACAGGTTCAACAAACGGCAACAAAAACAAACTGGACTCACCCGCACCACAAAACATAACAAACTCTTCCAGCCAATAACCGACGAGAATGACTTGGGGGTGGGGTTGGGGGGTTAGTGTGTGGATGAGGAGGGAAGGTCTAGCTAGCCTCCGTTTTGTTTGACAATACTTCAAGAAGTGACGGGTCCCTGGAATGCTTTGACAGGCTTTAAATGTAATATTATTATTTTTTTTTTGTATTTTATATATTATTAGGGAGATGTACTGCATCCTGTGTTGGAGGACGCACCACTAGAATCATCACAAGAGGTACAGTGTTTTGTTACAGCAACAATGTCATAATAATTGGAAATAGTTGTTGTTTTTGTTTTGTTTTTTGTTGTAAATGTGTTTGGTTTATCACAGTTGTATCTCCCTTGTTCTCCGTGTTATTTCACAGAGTCGATTGGTGCGAGATTTGAAGATAGCCAGCAAGTGGTGTTTGGATCAATCTAGTGCACTGCATGGTTCTGTTCAGTTGCCCAAAGTACTGTGTATGGAGGAACAAGACGTTGCAGAAGCCGTTGAGAGATTGGAGAAGGCTGAGTTTCCACAGGACAGAATCGATGCTCTGGAACCCTTTTGCTTTATCTTTACTGTAATGAATGACATGCAACTGTTTCTTGAACATGTAGTTGATGTCATGAAATTAAAGGTAAACTGTCGAACTATAGAGCAAAGTGAATAATGTGCCAATGTGTTTTTATATATTGTCTATTTGTACCTTGTATTTGTCTGTTTTGCACAGTATGTATACTGTAAATTGACATTTACAATAAAAAGAAAAAACAATACATCAACTTGATGTTTTTCATTTACAAACTGGTCCCACAAAGTTGGGAGCATGAAATTGTCAAAAATGTCTTGAAAATAATTAAAAATAAGTTAATAAATAAAAATAGTAAAAAAATAATTTCTTTCTCAAAGCTGAGTTTTGATTAAGTGATCAATTTATGTACATGTCTTTTCCCACATGATTTTTGGTTGTAGGTTATCAGTAAATTAATGTGGCATTTAAATACCAGTGTTTCCCAAATGAAACAAGGTCTCTTGGTTTTGAATGATGTGTGTAATGTAGAGAAATGTGTTTAGAGTTTTGCAAAAAGTTTGATTTTCAAATACAAACAGAGCAAAGCATATAATGCCCTTGTGTTTTTGCAGACATGGACTAAAGATTGGGTACATGAGTGAATAGTTTTACTGATTGAGCCTCAAATTCCACTTGTAGTGTGGCAATTTGTGTAGCAATTTGAAAAAAACTGCCAACAAAATGACAAATGACGGCTTAACACGACCAAAATGAGCGTGTCTACGCGTTCAAAAGAAACGTAAAAAATCGCCGCGGTCACAATTCACGCGTTTCGTTTAAAGACTGTTGGCCCCGATCGCGTTCCGTAGAGCAGACGTCGCTTGCAAGTGACGTCACTTGCAAAGGAAGCGCTCGTGTCTGAGAGTGCAAGTGACGTCACTTGCAGAGGAAGCGCTCGTGTCTGAGCGTGCAAGTCCGAGAGTGCAAGTGACGTCACTTGTCTGCAGCCAGACGCTATTGATTGCGTCATAACCAAGCGACTCTCTGTCGTACAGTAGAGAGATTACCGCATGGACAGGAGGAGAAGCTCGCGGGCAATCGGGGAAACGTGGAGGCAAAATGACAAAATAATTAATCAGAATCAGAGATGTATAATAACGAAGTAGAACTACTTAAGTACTGTACTTAAGTACTAAAATGCTGTATCTGTACTCTACTAGAGTATTGTTTTTTTCTCATACTTCTACTTTTACTTCAGTAGATATTTTTGGCGGCTGCCAAAGCAAATTTGTATCCCTCCAAAGTGCTTTATTTGATTGCTAGTTCAAACTTTTGACTGCTTTCTTTGATAATTACATGACACAATACTTGTACTTTTACTTTTAGTACTTAAGTTGAGAATTTTAAAATAAACTACTTGCAATAAGTACAAAAAATATTTACTTTAGTACTTCTGCTTAAGTGTGGTGCTTAAAGAGCACTTCAACTACAAGTCACTTTTTTGATAGAGCACTTGTATTTTTACTCAAGTCCGGGTTTGTAGTACTTTATACATCTCTGATCAGAATAGCTAGCAAAAGTTTCTCCTGCCTCTTAGCTCATGGAGAGCTTGCGGAAGAGCGGAAGGGAATGATTCAGATTTCTCATGCCACAGCCACTAGAAGACAGATGGGTTTGCCACGTCACATCTATGTCATCAAGCTCTGTTTGAGTCGGTTTGAGTCTGTGCATCAGGAGCGGAAGTGCTAAAAACAAAATCGCCAAAAACGGGCTTACGGAGTTCCAATGAGATGGCTCTGTCCACTTCTTAAGGCCTGTTCACCGGGACGAATTTCGCGCTCAATATTCGTTGACGTTTAACGCCTCGTGACTAAACAATGGGCGCCAATGTGAGTGTTCACACCGACGCGAAAAACGGCACGCGTAAAAGCGTAATTTTTTAAAAAACGCCTCGGGTTCGTTTTTTTTGGTTTGACGTGCCGCGTCAAAAACTATCCAACCAACGAGATTGGCGGGTTTGCTCACGTGTCTGGTACTTCTGAAGTTACAGTAAAACACCACTTGGCGGCGCTCAAACACAAAACGGTCTTGTCGAGCACACATAGGACGAAGAAGAGATAAGATGGGCAAGATGAATGTTGAGCTGCTGGTCTCGGAGCATAAAGAGCTATATAATAATATTTATATTAGTATTTCTGTAATAATAGTATAGTATAGGGTGACCAACAGTCCTGTTTTCCTGTGACATGTGTAAAACCATAGACATTATATAGGTAGACGCCCTATCGACCGCCACTGCCTATTGGCACGGACGAGAATTGGAGCCGCCATCTTAAACCGGTCATCCGCTCCGCTCAGTGTAATCTGAATGGCAGGTGAAATGAGCTGTCAGCGCATTAAATTAATCATATCTCACTGAATACCGAACTGATTTTCACGCTGATTTTTTTGCTGCAAAGGTCAAACATGTAGCTATGATACAGGACACATGGTTCGGCGTATTTTAATATTCATTGTAGGTTTAACAGTATATAATATTCTGATATTAGAAGTGACCAGAATATGTGTGAGAAAGGATATAATGTATTTTATAAATCACACACTATAAATATAATAAAGAAGCAGAAACAGATAGTAGCAGTAAAGTAAGATATTTTGATAAGTTGAAGAAACATTTTATGATTGACACATGCACATATACACCTCTCTCTCTCTCAAACACACACACATACACACACACACAGAGAAGAACGCAGCCACCGAATCCACCGAACGCAACCACCTGTAATAAAAATTGAGAAGAAGCTTTTCAACGTGTTTGCATCAGTAATTTCTAAAAATTAAATTCGGACAACATTAAGCCTATACCTTTTTTTTTACTGTATGTGGATGTGGAAGGGGAAAATGTCGAGACTAAAGCCCTATTTGGATTAACTTTACAAGGGTAGATGGAGTAAGTTAATGTAATTTTACCACAGGACTTGTGTAATATCAATAGCCAAATCGAATGTGTTACTCGGCACGGAGAGAACAACGGCAACCTGGTGGGACAGCTGGGCCGTTATACAGGCCTCTCGCCGCGAGACAGACAGGTACGGTTAACCGTAGACAGAACCATTACAGTACACGGTAACTAAAGTATGTGAGGTATGTGAGCTTGCAACAGAAAAAAATGTATATTATTATTTTACATTTTATTATTTTAATCTTATTTACTTATATAAACTCTTCTGTATATGTTAGGGATTACAGAACCATTAATCATGTTTTTGACAATTCTGCATGGACTGTTTTTATTTACTAAAATTGATTTTGAATTTGATTTTGAAATTGTTGTGTAATTGTTTGTCTATTTTTTATTTAAATAATGTAGCACTTTTAAAACTTTCTTTTAATTGCCATAAAGTGTGTATAACAGATAGGATCACAATTTAGTATGCATATATGATTAATATTTAATAATACAAATTATAATGTATTTATTAATCTGTTTAACTGTCTACCAAGCTCTGTGTATTAATATTATATATTTATTTTCCAAAGGAAAAAAAAACAACAACAAAAAAAACCATAGGCCTATACACCTTTAAAAGCGCAAGGATTTGTCTGTCACGGCCATAGGTCACGGCATGCTGCTTTGAGTCGCATGTTCTAGACTCATCATGGAAACAAAGACACTAAAATGCAACCACGGGCAAATTAATTACTCTACTTCTTGTGAAATTGATTTCATTATAATTAGGCTATTAGTATTATCCATAGCCTACTGTAAAATCCTTATTTGTTTATGTGTGGGTCACTGGGTCTATGTAAAATTATGTCTGTTGATATGACTATTTGTATTATTGGTAAGAAAATCTGTTTATTATTTATGTATTCAGACATAGGCTATTGTTAATTCTATAGTATAGCCTATTAAAGGATGGAATTCTCTGGGTTTGTTAAACAAGTTATTTTTCTCCACAACGTTCAGATTTTTATTATTAAATATGTATTTATCTCTCTCTTATTTCTTATTATAACTTATTTAGGCTACTCATTGCCACTGACACTTTCCAGCGAAGTATTGTTTCCTCACACTCTCGTCGTTACTTTTGCATACGCTTTCGTTTCAGAGGTGGACGCAACTCTCTGCCAAAAGACCCGCCCTCTTCTGACTCTGATTGGCCTTGAACCTGATGGTGTTAAACAAACCAATCAACCCAACAGGCAGCGCGTATTATAGTCGGGGAGCCAAAGTCTCAAAAGCTCTATAAAATGGGTTGAACCTGACATGGTCTGCCATACTTTTTATTTGTGTTTTTTCTGTTAACTTTGACCCTAAGAACAAATAATTGGAAATATCGCAAAAAAAAAATTGTGGCCATTTTAGTGTACGCACCCTTTATTTTTTTATCAGAAAAATGTGAAAAATTATTATTTTTTCATCAAATCCTTATTGGGTTGGGTAGGTTCTCAATAAATGCATTCCAGATACACAGAACACATGTGCGGACAAAAAAATTATTCTTAAAACACATTTCTACATGATTTTGCATCAATTTAATGCAAAAAAAACAGGCGTTTTTTTTTTTCACTTTTTTCCACTATTTTCATCTTTACTCAATAAATGCATTCCAGATACACAGAACACATGTGCGGACAAAACAATTATTCTTAAAACACATTTCTACATGATTTTGCATCAATTTAATGCAAAAAAAACAGGCGTTTTTTTTTTTTCACTTTTTTCCACTATTTTCATCTTTACTTCATTGGCAATCAACTATTCCCTTAAGTTATGACATCAGGCAAATGCCATTCTTTTCACCAAACACTATACTCATTCCACAGAAAAAATGATAAAAATCCAAACAAAATCAATAAATCTGTGATGATTTCACTACTAGTTGGCGATCAACAGGCTCAGAATTTCAATAGAATTTTAGACTACTCTCAAAATTCTTAAAAACATGCTGGATATTTAGCATCATGGCTCACTTACAAACTCACAAACACACACACACACACACACGCGTGATCTTAGTAATTTTTATGAGCAACCAACCAACGGTTACCAACGGTTACCAACGGACTTAGACCGGTATCTGCCCCAGAGTTTTGGAAAAAAAGAATGGTAATATGGATATTGTAATGGTAATTAACTGAAAGGACCACACCAGTCTTCAAACAATAATATTTCTGATGATTCCTCATCCCAAATGTATCCCTGCAGCAGCAGCATTCATTCTCTACTAGTTTACTTAGCTAGCTTTAACCGTTTTAGCTAATTTCGGTGGTTTCTTTAAACGGCATTACTCC